GCCCCTCCGTCACAGGTGTTCCAGCAACTGATTTCTACACTTTAACATATTTACTGTAATATCAAGCAATAGAAAACTCTTGCTACTTAATTATAAAAATACTGTACCAACTTAATTATTAAATTATTATTTTTACATTTAATGAGATTGACTTGTGAAAGTGTAAAATCTACGCAATTAGATTGCAAATAGACTGCGGCGAGCTTCATAAGCTCAACAATAAAAGTGAGAGATGACGCATTCATTTCTTTGTAGTTACTCATATGTTAAATTCAATTCATTCGACCGCAAAACGTGAACATTCTAACCACTACATTAAACCCAAGGTATATACAATACCTATGTATGATTTGTTGGGAACGATGAATCGGACACAGTGAATTCCTTTACCTACTTAAAAGTAATTTGTATTTGGGAAACCATAGATTTTCAATGCTAAGTTCATTAATGCTTTTATTAATTCAGCTTACTTATAAATTAGGACACTACTAAGCAATTCATTAACAACAATTTTTGCTTATAAACGTTTATTAAGGTTAAAACGTCTTTTAGTAACGTCTTAAATAGCTGTCAAATTAAGTAGCGTCGCAATCTTATTTATGTAAGCGTCTTATATTTACCACAATGGCGGATCTTTCACAGCTGATCATCTAGTTCTAGTACCTATGTTATTTTTTGTCAATGGCCATGCATATTGATTTATTTCATTTTGTAACATGTATTAGCACTACGGGATGTTGGCAAAATTTCTGGGTATAACAGAACAAGGCTATAACTAAAAAAAACATTGGATTATTTTAAAATGGATGGTAATCAAACCGATAAATATTAAACGCGTACCAATATCCATAACACAAGCGTATAATTATGCTTAGTTTAGCTTCGATTAACTATGAGATGTTTTATATATGAACGAGTTGTTTTCCCGCGGCTTTGCCTGCGTAAATTGTAGCCTATATAACATATTCATACACGTGTAGCCTCCCAGACATGAGAGAAAGAATTATCGGTGTAAGATTTAGTAAGTATCGGTGCCTATTCAATGTCAAGAAACAGACCTTTTTTCTCTTTATAATATTATAATATATAGCACTCCAGATTCTTTTGTACCTAAAGTTGATTCTACTACAAAAATTAAAACAGGGGACAATAGACAGGGTTCCATTTTTTTTTAAATAGTTTATTCTTGGTTTGGTGGCTTGTCCTTTAGCCGAAGGGTTCCAATAATTTAACAAGTGTTACAAGAAGTATATTTATTGAAACTTACTCATAAAAATACAATATATAGAAGAATTAGTAAACTGATATAAACTGTCACTGTTAACTGCAAATTATTAGGTATTGTTGACTAATTCAAGATCTTCAACGCCTGTCATGATTCTGGCGTGTAATTGAATAAACAGAATTGTATAATAAAAACTTTTTTTTTTCAATGCTAGTTCGCACTCTTTTTTATTTTCCGTTATGTATTTTCAAATTAAACGACTCCAATAATAGGTATGATGACTGGGTAAAGAAATTATACTTAGCTAACTAGTTAGTATTTTATTTTTGCTTCAATTAAACAAGAAATTCCGGATAATAGGCATTAAAGTTGAGGAGAAACCACTCAACATATCGCCGACATATATATATTTAAAGATTACACAAAAATTACGTGTTTCATATCTTTCAAAAGTTTACCTGACGGATAAATAAACCAAAATTAGTCATTTTTTATAAAACCTATCGAAAAAGATTACTCAAAAATTGCAATGATTTTAACAACGCTGACGTTATTTTTTTTATGTCCATATTTCATGACGCAGGCGTTTGGCTTTTGGTAGAATTTTCATCCAGTGTTTGAATATGTAATTGATTATGCAATAATTTAAAAAATATAGTTTTATTTACCTTTGATTAGTTAATAAACTTTTAAGTAGGGTTTATAAGTAAGAAATATGTAATGACTACTTATAAAGTGAGTTGTGGTTAGTTAAGCAGATGCTAAGACGATGATTAGCTGATTTTTATAAGTAAGGCTGATAATATATATTTTAATATGCCATATATTACTAATTTTGCATTACCTGTATTAATAAATTACGTTAAATACTAGCTTTCCGCCAGCGGCTCCGCCCGCCTGATTCTTAGGGACCTGTTTATTTATACATATATCTTGACACGGCTATAATTACAATGACAAATTGAATAGTAAACAATGGTTACTATGGTAACGTTATAATTTCCTATACAAACTTCCACTCCCACTTTCGTCCCTTTATTTGCTGTTTTTCGGGATATAATATAGCCTATGTCCACCGCACATGATGAAGCTTCCCATAGATAAAAGAATTTTATAGTCGTTCTGATGAGAGATGCAATCAAACAAACAAACGAATCTTTCCTCTTATATTAGTATATAGATAGTTTAATATACCAACATAATACTTATATTAAAAATTATATTAAAAAGTGTCGCTTCAAACCTCGAACTTCACAGCTTGATTTGCTTTAGTGGCACCAAAAGACATGTTAATATTCCTTATTCACTGGGTTTTATCATTTTTAGGGTTCTGTACCCCAAAAGAAAAAAAATCTCATAAGAGAATCAAAATTAATAGGGTACTTCCAGTTGACGTAAAACTATGAAATTTTGCAAGATTTCTTTTTATAGTACAACATTTACTATAAAAAAGAATCTAAAAAGAAATCTCAAGGAAGATCTGAAAACTAATCTTATTACTAAGATCATAAAAATTATACTCTCATGGTGGGTCGAAATTTATAATTGAAGCTACTGGTTCAAGCGATGTGCTTAGCTTATTTTAAAATATCTCTTATTCATTTATCACGATACATATATTCTTATTTATTTAAAATATAAAAAAGTTTTATTTAATATTAGTAAGAAACCGATATTGGGACCCACCGCATGATGTGTTTTGACTGGGCAAAATGACAAGGGCAGATTCATTTTGCTTTCCCAAAAAAACATAAAAGAGTTATGACGTCACATTTTACATCAGTGGGACTATACGCGGTAGAGCCGCAGTTCTTCCTTTGTACAGTGAACAGCACGTCTGGTCACAGAACACAGAATTGCGTCTGGCTATACAAAACTATCAAATTTCTCCATTAGGTTATCAGTTATCCCTAACTATCATAGATGAGTATGATGCTCTGTATTAAATATAATTAGTCATAAATATTATTAGTAATTATAGGAAACTAGCTTTCCGCCAGCGGCTTCACCCTCAGCGGTTCCTAGAGAACTGTTTATTGAGATAAAAAGTAGCCCATATGTTAATACAGGCTTAGAATTTAATTTAATATTTCATTTGGATGAAGTTAACCATTGTTCACTATAGAACGACAAATTCAATAGTAAAAATGGTTACTATGGTAAAATTTTAATTCCCTATAAAAAAATATTTATATTGTGTATACAAACTTCCACTCCTATTTCATCCTATTATTTGCTGTTTTATTCTTTTCGCCTAACAAACAAATCCAACATATATTTGGGTTGACTGGTAGAAAATGCCTTCAACATTAAGTCCGCTGTTTGTGTTATATGTAGCTTCCCATAGGTGAAAGATTTTTTAAAATCGGTCTAGTGGTTTCGGAGCCTATTCGATGCAAACAAACAATAAAATATTTCCTCTTTATAATATCACTAGCTTTCCGCCAGCGGCTTCACTCGCGTGGTCTTGTATTATACATAAAAACCTTCCTTTTGAATCACCCTATCTATGAAAAAAAACCGTATCAAAATCCGTTGCGTAGTTTTAAAGATTTAAGCATAGGACATAGGGATACAGGGCAGAGAAAGCGACTTTGTTTTATACTATGTAGTGAAGTATGGATCTCAGACGACAGCAGGCATAAGGAACATATGCAAACGCACAGCTATTAGAAAATGGAATACCCCGATAGAAAAGAGAGGAGAAAGAACAAAAAAATTAGTTGTGCGTAAACATATAGTTGGAGTGGCTTTCGTGGCATAGTGCATAAATGTCAAGACCCGCGATCGATGTTCACCGATCAAAAAATTATTATCTCGAGCTACTTCGTGTTTGGGAAGAAACGTTATGCCGTTAGTCCCGTTAATACCCTCCAATCCGCACTGAGCCAGTGCGGAGGACCGATTTTCTTTAACCATCCATAAGGAAGGCAGGTTCCGGCGCTCGAAGTCGATTTCGAGTCGGTTTTTAAAAGAATAACATAGCTGATAGACATTTGAGCACCGTAGTAAAAAAAGCATTTTTCTGATTTATATTGATTAATACAACAAATCATTATGTGATTCAGCTAAACGTTATCACCGTTTCCTTCCACATAGTCAACAGTTCCTTTAAAAAGTATTTGGTGAGTATTTGGAATGAAATGCGCAGGGTTGGTCAAAAGATACTGCGTTGAATATAGTTTACTAATTTTAAATTATTATTATTAAGGCGTAATGTGCTTTTTTAAATTAGGCGTCACCCTTTATGACGTAAAACATTTTTTGACAGTTTATTAGGTAAGACTTTTTTGACAGTACATTATATTACTAGACTGATTTTAAAAATTCTTTCACTAACGGAAGCTGCATCATACACGGGATTTTATTTATTAAGATGACGCGTACACCCAAAATCACTAATTTTCAATCGGTGACGTACAAAAAAAAAAACTTCCAAGTCAGCTATAATCAAAAATGAGAAAACAACTTCAAATTTTGTAATTTTCTAGGTTGTGAAAAAAAAATTAACCATAAAATTTTGGCCTTGATATCTTCACGTAAATATGCTCTTTTTATAGGTCAAATTGATAAATATATAAATCACTTTTTGGCTCTGGGAATTACGCAGCATCTATACTATTTTCGGGCGCAATGAAATAAACACGTAGAGTCTTGGCTTTACACCAGTCTTAAAACTCCCTCCCCCGCCTTGTAAGAAAATATAAGACATTTTCACCCCCTAAAATCATCTTAAGAGAAACTCATGATAATTTATTAATCTCGCTGAAGTTAAATGTGTACAGCCCTGCAAATACTACAATCGGTTAGTCATTTCACCGCGTAAATCAAACTTATGGTCTGCTCCAATATATATAATGTAAACGTAAACATAACTTGGTACTCCTCAGTTGGCTGTGGAACAGTACACGCGTTGCTCACTAAACCTAACAATGGTTATTCGTGTAGTCCTCTTTTTGGCAATGCTCGGCTGCATACAATGCAAAAGTGAGTCGGTTTTTTATGTCCAATTTCTCTCATCAAATTTCGATATCATTAGAACTTTTACTTTCCTTTAACGGTTATATAAAAAGTATCAATGGAATCGTTTAAATTTTGAAACAAATGTATTTTTCCAGTATTAAATCTTTCATGTCAACAAATAAGGAGTTTTGTTGATGGCCATAATAATAGAAGACAACAGTTAGCTAATGGCAAAGTGCCCGGACAACCAGCAGCTTCCGTAATGAAATATATGGTAAGAAGTTCAGTGATTAGTTTCTCATTTTGTTATAAGTTATACATGTAGAGAGTGATCCAAGAGGGAGGGTAGTATAATACACCCATGTAGGCGAAGCCGCTGCTGGAAAGCTAGTAATTTAATAATTTATATTTAACTAAATGAATACAAAATCGATACCGCTGATAAACAAAAATTTTAATGCAATATAACGTTTTAATTATTACTTATTAGTACAGTTTAATTATTTTATTTTCAAATCAATTTACAAATGTTTTTAAATTGGCTTTCGTATTAAAAAACAATTTTGTCTTAATTTTGAAGTTCATATAGTTTATTTAACACAAATATACCATTGTTTATGGTATCAATGTCGTCTCGAGAAAAGTGTTTGCCGATGTGAAAATGAAATAATTTCATTATAATAAAATTATTATGTTATTACATTTTTACTCGCAAAAGATTGGATTGAAACAAGGTGTTTTTACTAGCTGTTATCCTGCACCTTCACCTGCGTAAATGTGAGTAGATTCGGAACGTATTCAAATAAACAATCAAAATTTTCCTCTTCATAACAATAGTATCGATAACCAAAAATCATATAGGTACTATAGATATTCTTTTAAAATTTAATGATTCTTATCGCCACAGACCGAACCTAATTTTAACAATATAAAATCCATTATTCAAGCATTATTATACTACCAAGTATTTTTGTTATTCAAACAGAGTTTCCTAAACGTTATTTATTTTGCTAAATACATGTACATAGTAGTAACTTTAGTATGCAGAACGAACGGCTTTTGTTGATTGCGATAATGAAAATTGTGTTATGAAATAACGAGTGAAATGTAAATATTTCACGGCTTGTTTACAATTCTTTTTTTTATCAATAGATACAATGTTATCATCGTTCTAAAAATATTTGAATATTTACAGCTAAAGAGTTTAAATAGTCTGCGAAACTTTTTTCTTTTTCACATTATACCGCTCTTTTTTAAAAGAAGAAGCTCCTTGTTCCAAACAAATTAATTGATTTACTTACGTTGCACGATCTTCTTTGGGTCACCTACTTACATGTACATTTTCTGCGAAATTATCAAACCGTAATTTCGGAGAATGTGCCGCAGCTGTGTCAGACCTACAAATAGGCAACCGAGTGATCCTATAAGGCAGTGGTTCTAAACCGGTGTTCCATGGACTACTGATGATTCCTGAAAATATCTCATTTGGTTTGTGGAGCTGAAATTTTATTATAACTTTCCGCCAGATAAGCCCACGTGGTTTTCTCATTCTTGCAACATTTTTCATTCGTACTCCACTCTTATTTGTAATAGCATAATGTAATATAACCTTCTTCGATAAATGGAATATTCAAAACAAAGATATATTTTTTAAATTCAAAGCAGTTGTTCATGAGATTAGCGCGTTCTTCAATCAAACAAACAAACAAATTCTTCTGTTTAATAATTAAAGTATAAATTGTATAGACCAAAGGGCCGTCCGTAGGCAGATAGACATTTGTCAGTGATTCTAAGCCTTTCAGTTATTACAGCCCACCCTAATTACTGAATGGTTAAGAAAATTACTGACACAGGGGTTCCGTTATTCCGATTTCTGATGTGGAATCCTTAAAAATAGGACTTTACTTCGGATTGATATATTGTTGTTCGGATATAAAATTATATTTTTTTAATTTTGCATCTTAATTAATGGTTTTTGTTTATAGATTTGGGATAAAGAACTTGCTGCCAAGGCGGCCAAGTGGGCATCTGTGTATCGGCAACAACATAATCCTGACCGATCAGTTGGTGAGTCGTTAATAAAAAACTCACAGGGTCGGATCTACCTAAGGGATTGACGGGCTTTAGCCCAGGGCCCGTAGATACAAAGGGCCCACAACCCCGCATTAAACACTACGATACGGTACTTTTACATTAGGAAAACAGTTTCTAAACAAAATGACATTTACTTCAATAATAATAGGGCCATCGGTAGTATTAACCCAGGGCTCCAAAAATTCACGATCCGCCCCTGGTTATTATTATAAAATATTTTGAAAAATTCTTAGTTTTAGTGATAGTGAATTCGTAGTGTATATTAGATGCAAATTTTAAGCGCGCGATCTTTTGTTTCCTTGGATATAATTTTTTTTTTTATTATTTGGCAGAACACTTCCAGTGATTTCGTAGATTTTGATAAAATTCTGTTGATATTGAGTCCTTATAACGTGAAATTATCTTAGTATCGAATATTCATGCCATTCACCAAACTTTGATCTCAAATATCTGGCCTCCGAATTTCGTTTGGAATTCTTAATTCAAGTTTTTTTTTGTATTTATTGTGAATGGGCACAATCATTTTAAAGAATACACGCTATCTACGATTTTAATTCCAATGACCATTATACATTTGATTTATTCATGCTCCCACATTTCTTTCAACAATGGAATGAATAAACCGTATTCGTATAAAGGTGAACGTTCATTTCGTACATACGCATGAAATAGACAAACGGCAGGTAACGAGTTATCTCTAACTTTGTATGAATTTCAATAGCACTACCGACCCCACTTAACCGCACGTCTAGAAAACAATTTTTTGAACGAAAGTGATTGATTGATACATGAGATTCCCTTTAAGAAAAGTTGTCCCTTTATTCAGGCTTAGAACTGTCCGTATACCACATTTTATTAAAATCTGTTCAGTAGCTTTTTCTACAGAACAAGTACTAAGTTAAAAGTAACAAACATACATACACTCATTCTTACAAACTTTTGCATAATTTGTAAAGTTGTATGGAATACCTTAATTCATCAAAATTCATTATGTAGTTGTTGCGTGAAAGGATCATGCGCATGCGCACTACAGCATTACAATATTGGTTCGTGTTCCCAGGTTCTGGTCGGTGGCGTAGCACTGGCGAAAACTTGTACTGGTATTCCACCAGCGACCATAGTTACAAACTGAACCCCGACAGCGCTTTGAAAGCTTGGTTCGATGAGTTCAGAGATTTTCAATACGGACCCATCATGAGAAGCCACTTCAGTAGTTCAACGCAAATAGGACATTACACGCAAGTAAGAGAATTATTTTGTTTTTTTGTGCCACTGCCTAAAAAAATTGAGTGTATTGTGTTTATTTTTTTTTTTAATTTAATATTGATCACTTGCTTGTCAATTTTAACCCCAAAATAAAACATCTTTACGAATTTACAGTAAATACATCATGACTATTTTACAGGATCCCGCTAAACCAAAAAAAAATATATTTGATATACTATATATATTTAAAATATATAAATAATGAATAGGTATTTTATACAGCCTTGATAGAGCGAAGTGTACTAATAATAGTTACACCACGTAGGTTTTATCAACATTATTTTGTTCACGTATCTTACATTGTGAATGGTAATTTTAGAAGTTGGGAATAGATATAGACTATTAGATTATTCAAAGACGAACGGAGATCGATTGGTGTCTTATGGAAATAAAACTGCCAAGTCAATGTTTTAAACGACCTCTGTTTTCTGGTACCAATAAAAAATTTGTTGCCATCGGCGACACCGATGGGGGAATACGCACGACTTATATGAAGCTACAATGACATTGGTGATTTTTTGTCATCTAAACTTATTGTTTCTGTCACTGGCTCCTGCCATTTGTACGGAAGCCATCTAATTGTCACGTGTTCATGTGCGCGCATTACTACAAGGGTTCTCAGGCGCGGAGACAGGAGATAGAAAGTCATGGTGATAAAAAGTTACCCGTTCGAATCTCATAGATAAATGACGGCGAATTGAGCGTAAATAAAATATTTAATTAATTGCTTGGAAATCAATGCTATCATTGTAACTCATATTTTTAGCAATATAAAAATGAAAAAAAATTATAATTACGCGAAGTTAAACGCTATCTTTAGGGGTAACTTTTTGATTTTTACTGTAAAGAAAATGTTATAGATTTATATTTTTGACTTGGAGATTCATTTTCTGATATTCTAGCCTAGCCTTAATGCTGGAAACGAATGGTAAGGGCGGAAACTTAGAATTTTAAAATAAGCAATCCAAAGGCAGACTAAGTCAAAAATTAAGACTAGAATTTTTCTGATAATCTTATTGCGTACAAGTTATTCGTCATTGAAAATGTCATAAAAAACACGAATGGCGACGGAAAAGACGAAATACCGTACTGCGAAAACGGATAACGTCGAATTTTTTTAGTCGCTGTTCGTAGCCATATTTTGAATTTTTAGTATTTATTTTTCTCATTTGTATTTCATTATGATTTGTAACGAATTTGCAGATGGCATGGGCAGACACGACGCACGTGGGATGTGCTATTTCACAATGGTCCAACGATGGTTGGAACAAATACATGGTCGTGTGCAACTATGGACCTGCGTGAGTATTCTATACACTTTTTAGTACTCGTGAAAATTAACGTGACACCTCTCAAGGGGTATTTTTTTCCGAAAACGAAATTTCCTCTTGCTTAGAAATACTAATACGACTCCAAAAAACGGATTTTTCAATAATTCATGATGGATGTACTTACTATCTGACGCTGCCTCTGATGCACAGATAATAATAAAAACGATTCCAAATTTTCGTTCGGGGACAAATAGAATAGGCCCTCACAAATAATTGTCAATTTTGGCCATAAAAATAAGAGAGAGGAAAACTATAAAAATTATTAATTTTAGGGGTCACTTATACATCCACATATTGGCTTGTGAAAAACTCTGTAAAATGTAGATTTCATCATTTTTAATTGGAAATGATTTAAGAGTGATTTCTTGATACAAAACCAATTGACTTACTTAAGTATAGACATTTTTAATTGTACGTGCCCGTATAATTACCTGTGTCACCGGCATATGATGTAGCTTCCCATAAGTGATTTTTTTTACAATTAGTCCAATAGCGCTAATTCAATGCAAGCAAATAAAATCTTTCCTCTTTTAGTATAGAAAAGAAGTAATTGACCATCTCTTTTTATTTTCAGGGGCAACATGTTAGGCTCTCCGCCTTATAAAAGCGGCCGCGCGGCTGGCTATCTCGTCTGCGGAACCGGAGACTGCAGTAGGCCTTATGGAGATTCGTGTTAGATAACAAGACTGATAATAGTATATAGTCAAACGTACCTATAATATAAGATATAATCAACCTAAGATTAACATTAAATTAACTTATTCACATATAATATATGCATTTTTATTACAAACTCACGACCGCAAGAGTAACACAAAAATGGGTCGTACGCCGATTTTAAGGTAACGCCATCTCCGAGGTGCCGGGTTCGTTTCTCAGTCAAACATTGGTCAGATCCTAAATTAAGTAGCTAAGTATTTGTATTATGAATATCTAAAATAACCAATGTATCACAACATCCAGACCGGAGACAATATAGAAATGTAAATTTTCTATATTGTCGCGGCCGGGAGTCGAACCTGGTATCTCAGAGATGACGGTACATTGAAACTAGTGTACAAGCTACCAGATCACAACATATAATATACCCAAACTCAGTTTCATAAAAAAGTTAGGTTTATCATATAGAAAAATCTATTCGCCACATTATGATAGATGGTCTAATTAGTCTAATGACTACTCAGCGTTATCAGTAGCATCAATACCTTATCGTAAAATAGTTGCAGGAAATCCGGGAAAGTTGAACCGCTTTTTACTTTATGTAATTATCATATTGCCTACGTGGAACTGTACACTACACAAAATCTTGATTAGAACGATTGGGATGCATTTCCTTTGAAGGAACGCACTATTTTGAGCAGTCCTGCGATTTTGTAAAACTCCAAACCCGAATTCGAATTCACTCAGGTATCAGGTATGAAATAAAACAGGGAGAAAAAAGCAGCCCTTGCCGAGTTTCTTGCCGGTTCTTCTCGGTACAAGGTCTCCCGCCGTAGATTTACGAACCGATGGCGTAGCTCTCGACTTTCACAAGTGCTTTTGTAACAGCCTAGACTGAATAAATAATTTTGATTTTTGTTTTTTTTATCCGAATTCAGTTCAAAAAACAGCACCCGCTCAACCTTGAGTTGGTAATAACGTTTCGTGTCAAGTGAAAAGTGTTTCGAAATGACACAGGAATGGAATATCTGAGACATCTATAATTAATCAATTTGATTTGTATTTTTTTTATACGAAACAATGGAATCAATAGAATTTCTTCACTAAATGATGTGAATTCTGACACATTCTAATTTGGGTCGTGTCCACAACTATTTTTAATGTCAAGACCCACCCATTACTTCTTTGCTTCACTGCATTTAATATTTCTCAAAGACCATTCTGTCAAAATAATATAACAAAATCACACTTAGCAGTATTTTCTGGGTATTCCTTGCCCTGAGTATTTAGGGTATTGACGGATAGAACTGCGCTGGATCGCCGTCCCTTGCAGTCCCCGTCTAGTCGGCCAATTCCCTTCGGTTAAAAGGTTTCATTTTATATTGTAATTTTTTATAATTGATTCTTTGCCCATTTTCCTTTTCTAACCCGTTTTAATATCTTCGTTACTAATCTTTTTAACCTACCCGTCGATAAAATATTCGATAATGATAAATTATCAATATGCTAACAAGTTTTCGTATACTTAGTTATCAAAAAAAATTATATCATTTCACTACGACGGCATTTTATTTAATGCTGTCGTTTAATAAAAGGATTATAGATATTCATATATAAAAATGGTAAGTGATTTTATTTTATTTAAAATAGTTATATGTTATATTTTTTACTTTAATATGAATTTTATAACTGTAAATACCTAATATACTACTGATATGAATTAACATGACACCTTAAGGATTATTTTATTTCTCCGGAAACGAAATTTCGTCCAATTTAGAAGTACGAATATAACTCCAAAGAAACGCATATTTTATAATTTATGATGCAAAGGAGGTAGAACTTGACAATGCTTTTTATGCACAGATAACCTTCATCTTTCAAAATTTCCATTCGAGGACAAATAGAATAGGCACTCAGGTATCATGTTAGTTCTTACAGGTTACAAATATATTTTTAAATCTATATAATGTATTTTCTAACGTACAGTCAATAGCACGTCAGACTATACAACACTCTCAAATTTGTCCACAAGATTTTAAACCTCAATGTATAAAATATAAAGTTCACGGCTGCTACTGCCTAACTTACAGCAGTATGTACATAACCCTTATTTTCATAAAAGTGTATTTCAATGCTAGTACACAAAACGTCATTGACTTATAGATATTATCTTAGTTTCATATTATAGCAATAAAGTAAATAAATAATAATAATTTATTTGCTTTTAAATGAGGTACATTATAGATTGAAATATAATTTGAGTTCAGCTCATTTAGCCAACAGCGATAGCATACAAACATGTAAATCAACATATTATAGTGTTAAATCGTATAAATTTTAATATTAAATTTTAAAATAATTGTTAATAATGATTAATGAGAAATTAATATAGAAATTCTATAACATAGTGAAGTGTAATCTGTAACTTGGATCTTCCAGATCCAACTTTTTATCAAGAACCCCGAAAAGGGTTTTTTTACTTTATCATTTATACCATAAATAAATCCATAATCTAGCTAGTCAGCCTTTCATTAATTGGCCCAAACACCGAATTCGTAATCACCGAAGTGATTCGTTTAAGTCTAAATAAAAAATCTGTAATACTTTAACAGATTTATGACCTGTCATATTACTCAAATGCCTAGTGCAATTCGCATGTAATAAATTTAGACATTAAATACTTAACGTCGATAGGTGGTTCCTAGTCTTTGGTGAAATGCATTTTAAATTTATTTCATCATGAGACCTTTTTATGTCCCCACTACAAGCAATCAGGCCTTTCTAATGGATGGTGAAGGAGGATGATCATAACCCTCCACACTGGCCTAATGCGGATTGGAGGGTATTATCGACTACAAATACAGCCGGGACCAACGACTGAGCATGAGATAATAATTTTTGGTCACCCATCCCGTGACCACCCTTTACGAAAGTTGCTTAGCAACATCGTAGGCACCAGCACTTATCGACTACGCCACCGAGCTACTCCAACTTAGGTGATTCCTAAATATTCAGGCGACAGACTTGGGCGACTCCTAAGTTTAGTGAAAAGGACATTAGTTTATAGGAGAAGCTAAATTAATATTATGGTAACATCTATTACACAAAATGAAAATATTTTCAGATATTATTAGCATTATTTTTATGTGGCCTTACGAGCTCGTGGGCTGATCCCCGAGTAATAGAGCCGCCCCTACGAGTGGATATGCCCCCCCCGGAAGGTTCAGGGAGGATCCTTACCAGAAATGTTGTTACCACTTTTGTCACCATGCCTGTAGACCACTTTGATCCGCTGAACAAAGATACTTTTCAAATGGTTTGTAGAACAATTTAAATACTTTATGATTTAGGTCGGTATTTTATATTTTTTGGTGATATATGTACAAAAATTTTGGAAAGCATAAATACACGATTATTTGTTTTCTTTGATCACATATGTATGTATAATTGTTAATTCGATTTCGATAAACATAAGAGAGCATTTCAGGTCCACGAGCTTAGAAATTATGAAAACAGGTCTATAATTTATGGAAACATCAGTGCATATAAAATATTCATAAAAAGTTACATGTAAAGCGAACATATTACTTACCTCCTACTTTTTAATTCTAAAGTATTTTTTTGGAAACTTGTATTGTTATAACTAAAGCTCTATTTAATGTTTTACTTGTTTTATTAGCTATTACTCGCACTTTCTCCGGCTAAGAAAAATATTTAAAATATTGATTTTGCTTATTGGAAATATATGTTTTTTCTCGAGAAAAACTCGCATCACACTTCATCAAATTTTCTTCTCACAAAAAGAAACTTCGCTGCATGTAAAGGACAACAACCATCCGCACATAGCGCAATTTACCATTTTTGATATTACTATAAATAAAATAATAATAGTGGGCTTATATAATTGACAGCGTTTCATGTACAACGAAGTTTTCTTCGGTGGTAACGGCTCTCCAGTATTTATACTGGTTGGTGGAGAATGGAATATTGCACCAGGCTGGCTTCTCGCAGGCAACATGTTCCAGATGGCAAGCGAGAATAATGGCTTCATAATATACACTGAACATCGATACTATGGACAAAGTTTACCTTACCAGTAAGTACAGACTGTGAACATGACCCATGTAAAGACAGTCAGTTACGAAATTATAGAAAATTCAAATTTAATAATAATAAAAATAACATTTTTAAGTAAACAAACATCTAAAAAACAAACAATTTAAGATAACATCTAAAAACCACGGAGGTTTGAGTTGTGTTATAAGAGTTGACAACTTTTATTTATTTCCGTTATTATAAAATCGGACCTATTACAAATACAAATATTGTAATCAACAGACAATTACAATATTAGCCTAAAATTATTTACAATGTATTAAAAAAACTAAAGAACTCTTACTCAAACACTAAACTAAAACCTTTACGGCTAGTTTAGCCAAAAGATGAATTTGAATTTACAAACAAATATGACATTGTTTCGTTCTTCAAACCGCTAATTAGGTTCACGTGAATAGCAAAATTGTTTTATGATATAAAACTTTCTTTTTTCAGAAATTTCACAACTGAAAATTTACGTTTTCTGAACGTCGACCAGGCGCTAGCAGACCTAGCCTACTTCATTAGAGACGTTGTACGGACACAAGAACGTTTCGCAAACAGTAAAATTATTCTTTACGGTGGTTCTTATGCAGCAAATATGGTGTTGTGGTTTAAACAACGCTATCCACATCTCGTAGAGGGTGTTGTTGCGTCTAGTGGACCTATTCTGGCCAAGGTGGATTTCACTGGTAGGTAAAAAGCTAGGTCTAAAACTGCTATACCAAAATTCGGCAACCGTTCTTCCCGCGGCTAAGTGGAGACCAGGCTCCCTTGAAAAATGTGTCGCATATGTCTCTAGATATGTATGCATAATCAATTTCCATATTTTTACCTAGTCTATGTGATTAAAATAGTTTCATAACTTAACTAAGTGTACCTATAATCTACAATAAGCATTTAATAATTAGTTTAATATAATAAAGTAAGTAGAATATTTTTGCGACTTTTAGGTAATTTTGGAAAATATTTTCTTAATATTGCCAAATAGACAATCATTTTTCATATTTCTATAATAAATACAAATCCTTTAGCTGTTTAAAATAAGATTTGTGCAAAGAATGTGTGTTTCTCTCATATGTATGAAGTAATCTTTCTATTCTATTATTTGTTTGCATTAAAAGTCTCCGAAACTATTAGCCCCATTTTAAGTATTCACTTACGAGAAATTTAATCATATGATGCGGGTGACATAGACTATAATTACCCGACTACGGTGAAGCAAAAAAGAGGGTTATGATTTTGGCTAGTATGTATGTAGGAATGTTCATCTGTTCCCTTATAACTTTGAAATTACTCATTGTAACTAAACAAATGAGGTAATATTAGAAGCCTCTTAGTTATACGCGTGCTATAGGCTGTGTGACGTTACATTAAATTGGCAACAGCGCCCTCTAGAGAGCATAAAATAAGAAACAAAAAATATATATTATTCAATCAATCCATGTAGGGATTCAAATCAAAACTATTTTGCTTAAATACATCTGAAAAATTAATTAAATAAAATCTAAAACCTAAATAAAAACAGCAAAATAAAACTTTGCACAAAAAAAATATATCGATGACCAGGGGACAGCGTAGTCGTATGCCACAATAGTTTGTTTTGTTACTTTTTGAACTTATTATAATTTTTTTTTATATTTGTCGCGAAAACATCTAATAATAAAATAACTTAGTCAAGTAGACAAAATGAAACTAGAATTGAACAAGATTAGCCAAATTTCGCTTAGTATGGTGTAAGGTAAGATCTTACATTGTGTTACAGGGTACCTGGAAGTAGTTCACGAAGCGTTTCAGTTAGAGGGAGGCGATCAATGTATTGCGATCATAAGGCAAGGAATAGAGGATACCGTAACGGCGATGCAAACTGAAGAAGGTAGAAAATTGCTTGAAAAAAATTATAGGTAAGCAAAGCAACTTCCATTAGTCTAGAACTAGAACAAAGAGAACGCAAAGCTCGTTCACTCGATGAGCTAGAAAGTAAAACTAACTATCGCCACTTTCTTTGATTCGTTTTTTACCCATAACTGCTTTCGGATTATGAATTTAAACAAGTTTGAGGACCACATGTGATTGATAATGATCGATGAAATTTGGTCGGCGGTGAAAGCAGATAACAAAATGCCGTTTCGAAGCTCTGAGAAGTGTGCGACAAATGAAAATAATAATGCCTCTGCTGTTTTTGTTTGTCATCGTATATGTATTTGTCTATCGATAAAAAATTGCATTTTGTTCAAATAGTTTTTTCTTGTTTGTGTGCCATAAAATTGAGAACACGCTTACTACTACAGTTGGGTGAAAATACCTCGTCTTCTTAAAAAAAATCTATGTGAATCTACATAATCCTTAATATATTTTCCCCAAAAACCAATAAAGCAATGAACTCCTTTCTTCTGCTTTCCCAGATTTTTTCTCCAAACTATTTTATTTGTCATATATTCTCTTAACTTTTTTATTATTTACGTCGTAAATCTTTTCAGATTATGCTCGCCGCTTAATTATGACAATAAGTATGATTTAGGTTATTTCTCCGGACTGATAAGTTGGACTTTCTCAAACTCGGTGCAGTCTGCGCGTCCTGGAACGCTGCTCAACATTTGCAATAATTTCAAGAACAATGCTTATGGTAATTGTGTACTAATATACCCAAATTAAATACTACTTACATACTTGTATTTAATATAAACAAAATGGGAGAATTATCGCTGACACTGAGGGAAATCTCTCGGTATAAATAACGAACCACTTCGTCCGTGTCTTAAATGAAGTTCTAAGGATTTACAAACGCAAAGTCTTGGCCACTACAGACATAAATATTTTTCATTCCCTATGACTATAGAAATGATAGCTACGTTGCACTTTACATCACTTGCAGATTTTTCCCAAACCAGAATTTTTAGATAATTCGCAGAACACAGAAAAGAAGTCAAAGGCAATCCTTTGTAAGAGATCCGAACTCGGTAGTGTTTTATGCAGAATTTCTTCTTCAATAAAATTGTTATCTTACCGTATTTCAGATATAGATAACTCTGCCGGTTTGATTAGAATCGATATAAAAACTTTTTAAAAATATAGAACCAACTGCAAACTTCAAAAGTTTTAAATAATACTTACCTCAAAAGTTACTTATCCAAGAAAATGCTATCGTATATCTATATAGAGTCAGGCGGGATTTTTCTGTAGGCTATTAATTAAATTATAGGCGCCCAACTTCAACAGCATTATTTTGAATAAGTCGCTTTTTAAATAAGTATTATTAATCACTTGTAAAGTTTAAAGTTTCTGCGCAGTTTATATGAAGATTCAAAACATTTTTTAATAAAGTTCATTTGTAGTATGTAGGTACCATTTTGTTCGATACATTTTGGCCATCTTGTAGATAGGGACACGATTCCATTGCTAAAGAAATTTTGGGGTTTCTGATCAAAAAACTGCGACAAGTGGTTTTGGCAGTCCTCGTGTGATGTTTAACCTGACACTGCCTAAATAATTCTGAAGAGAACGAAACAGGTGGAAATCTGAAGGTGTAAGGTCAGGACTATACGGCGGATACAGCCAAACTCTCTTAAATTTTGCTGAGTGGCAAAAGATGTGTGAGGTCTAGCCCTATCATGATGAAAAACTACACCCCTTCTATTGATTAATTCTGGCCGCTTTCTGTCAACTTTAAGATTTAATATCATCAATTTTTCGCAGTAGTGTTCAGAATCGATGGTCCTGCCAGGCGGTAATAGTTCATAATGAATAATACACTTGCAATCTCCCCATACACACAGCAACACCTTGTTGCGAGTTAACCCGGGTTTCACCACAATCCGTGAAGCCTCACCGACCTTTGTTTACAACTTTCTTCGCACGTTCTTGTCGTACGTGATCCACTTTTCATCACTAGTTATCAGCCTCTACAAAAATGGTTCGGTTTCATTACGCCGTATGAGTACACGTTTCATTAGGTTTCTTTCAGTGAGCTCGTGAGGTACCCAATTATCAAACATTTTTGTGTATCCAACTTTATTCAAATGCGGTAAAACTGTTTTGTGGTCAATCATCAGTTCCTCACCTCCTTGTACTTTAAAAAAAATGACATCCATTTCATCTGTAACAGAGCTACCAAAGCGACATGCGTCTCACAGAAACTGCACTAGGTCCATAAACGTCACATTTTTTTTCGCGGCTTGCGTTGCATTTTTACCTTTAATGTAATTAAATTTAAAAATGTATCGGTTTTCTTACATTCACTCATTTTGACAGTAAGATAAATACTAAAATCACACATTTTCCTAATTTGATTTCGGAGTTATCTTATTTAAAATTAAAACTTTTTTATGATACCAAAACCAATCAGTATAAGTAGTATAGCCAGAATGATTTATTACAAGTTTATGCATACTATATGCGAAAAGACTTTTTTCCTCGACCAAATATTTCATGCTTTTTTTGTAAAATTGATATTTTTTATATTCAAGTAACACTAAAAATATTAAGTATTTTTATAAATAAATTATAAATAAATGCATGTAAAAATATGTAACATGGTGAAAGTCTTAGAAAAAGAGGTTTTGTTTATTTGCTCGACATACTTTTGTTTTTTGATTTATAAGTCTTTCATCTACATAATACGCGTTGGATATAGGATGTAATTTACGCAGGCGAAGTTGTGGAGAAACAGTAAATTTGAAAAAATTGGTTCACAATTCAAGAAGAAATCGATTAACATAACTTTCATAAAAATACAAATACTCTTTGAACATTCGGACTTTGAATGAATTTAAAATACGCTATCTTTTGTTTTTTAGCTGAAATACACATAGATGATATTATCATCTAAATATTTAGGTGATATCTGATGGAAAGCGTAATTTGTTTTAATCTTAAAAAGATAACTACTGGTTCGATTGCGATAAAATTAAGCTGTCGAATAAAAAATAATTTTAAAAATAAAAAAAAATAAGTTGCGGAAATATCGGTCGAACATATAACCTCCTCCTTTTGGAAATAGGCCAAACATAGATCATGAATCACTTATTATCAAACACTTATTTTAATTTTAAGTATTGAAAATTCGATCGTAAAGAATTCGACTTATAAAAACTAAAAAATAAAATTTTAATGGTAAACATTATTAATCAATATTTATGATTTCGTTGGTCGTATTAATACACAATTTTTTATTCTAGGTTCGACTCCTATGGAACAAGTAGGAGGTTATATCGCTGCAAGCAGAGGCATAACTACATGTTGGACCATATTATACGATGATTTAGTTAATATTTATAGCGGTAACACGAATTGTGAGTATAAGATTAATTAAATATTTGAACATCTTGAACATGATTTATTAATTGATGCTTTATTGATAAAAACTAAAGAAAAGAGTAAACATAACAAAATTAATCAAATTCTCCATTCAGAATGAATAAGTACATAATAAAAGTGAAATGATGTGTTATTGCACCAAAGATCATTCAAAACCTGTACAAAAAATTTAAAGGCCCAGCAAAAAAAAGAAATAAAATATTTCGATTAATATTAAACTTAATCTAAAAACGTATTATTATAATCTGTACAATTATTATTTGAGTTGTTATTCGCATACTTATATTAATAAATCTAAATTATCCTATCACATACAAATTCAGGCAAAACAAAAATAGGGCAGAGAACCCGGTTTTGGCCACTGCTCCCTTTTTGGCCATTTGGCAATTCAAGGCGTTCTACTACCAGTGGACTTTTGGGATTGTGGTATTTTTTTATATTTTGGAGGCATTTTTAGATTGTGATGCGTTTCTCCTTTGCAATTGCCATTTAAAGAGCATCAATACAATTTATCTCTTTTTATTTTAATCTAAATTTGTTTTCAGCACGCGCGTGGTACTACCAAACATGCACGGAATACGGATACTTCCAGACGACTCCGAAAATTGGCACTGTGTTTGATCCGTTAATATGGCTCGATGTCGATTTCTACGTCGATATTTGCAAGAAAGCTTATGATCCGAAGTAAGTTTTAAGAAAACTTGTTTCACATCAAGAAGTCTATAAGTAAACAAACTGTGTACTTAACATTATCAAGCATCCTATGCCACAACTTAAAAATGGGATAGCGTTGTGTTACTCACTCTTTTTTTAATGAGGATGAGTGAGTACCTCATTTTTCCTCGTGAGGGCTCGCGAGTCAGCACTCATTTGAGGTGAGGATAGGTAATGTTACAGTAGCAGCGAATGAGTACGTAGCGAGGCGCGCGCAACGTTGCCGTTTGGTACAAAATGAGGGAGGGAGTCGGTAATGCTAAACAAAACATAATTTGTCTTTAGATTCTAAGAAATAAACTTTACTAGACTATAATTTATCAGAATGACCACAACATGCAACTTACTTTGTTCAAATGTTCCATTTTTAAAATCGATCAATCATTTATATTTCGAATCATATAAATACATTTCTAAATAAAACAGATACATTTTTATTAACTATGATATTTACTAATTCATATCAATTATCTATAAATTATTAAATACGTATTTGCGAAGAAACACATAAACAAATCTGAATCGTTCCAAAAACTCATAAAACTTAACCCATTCCCTCAATCTTGAATATATTAAGTAACTATCGAGCCGCCTTTTCATTCGAAACACCTCGCTATATAGCTACTCACTCAAAAACTCCACCACCTCATTTAGCTCCTCACTCCAAAAGTGAGAAACTTAATGAGGTGGTTCAAAATTGAAAAACGAGTACTCCCTCATTTTGTAGAAATGAGGAACTCAAACGAGGCACCTCGCGAGTGAGGGGCTCATCACTAAAATGGGATGGTTTGCAAGTAATAGGGTATTTGACACTTTTGTGTATACTATTTTAAATCATTTTTTAATACATTATAAACACGCTGTCAATATATTTTATAGGAATATGTTATATTTTCGATGAAAATAATTGTTAAGGTTTAAATAGCCAAAATTGCTCAAAACCACTGCTCCGTGTAATGGCGTTGAATAAAATAAAATAAATATGAACTATTTATTTACGAAGTAAACAAATAGTATTATAGAAGAAATTTTGATATTAAAATTTATGTTTTCTATTTGCTCTGGTTTTGTTTATGAAAATGAGCTACAAATTGTATGTATAAATACAAATTTTATGCATTTTTAATAGTCTTGACATGACAGCTTCCTGTTTACGTGTGACGTCACACGATGGTAAACAGAACCTGTTATTGATTGTGATGACAACCAATAACAGGACGTTTTCGTAGTCTATTTAAATTCCTAAAAATGTTGCATTTTCTTTGCGTTATTTTACTAAAGCTAAACATATTTTGTCTGAAAATTCTAAAAAAATAAGGTTTATTAGATTATTATCCAACAGGATGACAATATGCAACTTATTTTCAATAGTGTCAAAAACCCTATTGCTGTCACTAAACTATGCTGCCACTTCGGTGTGAATTGACCTTACGTGCGGGCTTACGGTATCAAAAAAATTAATAAATAATATAAAGAACACACACTTCCCTATAGATGGAATCGAATCTTATAATATCTTCGACCATATTGTAAGTTGAATTTAATACCGATGACGTCACAGGACCTAACTTAATTGTAAATTGACTTTCTTCATTCAGGTTTGATGAAGCATTCGTATATAACGCGGCAGACCGCGTGAACACAGTCTTCGGTGGCCTGGAACCAGATGTTAACAACACTATTAACATTCACGGATATATCGACCCCTGGCGGGCCTTGGGCGTCTACGAGCAAGACTTGAAGGAGAGCTCTCCTACTTATACAGTTCCCAGGTATGATTTACAAATGAATTTTAAGTCCCAAATTTATCAATCGCTGAAAAAATAAGGACAAATTGCCCTAAATATTCTATCTAATGAAAGCTGCAGCAGTATATTTTAGCAACGTTTACATTTAAGGAACCATTGTCAAACTCGAAGGGATAATAATGGTACCAAGAATTATTAAATTTAAAAAGTTTTGCCACTCTCAGCTTTTATTGACACTCTACTTTCGGAAATATGAGTCTTTGTTCGTTGTGGTTACCGAGATTACTTAGGGTATCAGTTCCACGACTCGCCTCTATGTCCACGATAGAGCTCTAATAATTTAAATGACAAGGATGGCGAATGTTTTGGACACGTTAAATAGTGATCGCAAAATTCAATATGCACTATGAAAAAAGTGCGAAATAGATATTATAATAATGTTTATTATTTTCTCAATAATTACAGCCAAAAATAATGTTATAGCACCGTCATGACCTCATTAAATATTTATTTAAAAGAATAACGCATTGTAACAATAAAGGTTTGCCATCCCTGACATTCGATATATGCACAATATGCAGAGCTAACGTCCCGTTTCGCGGCGAGTCTAGTAATTTATTCTAGGGCACCGGCCTTAGAGTGGTGATAAGTAGGTTAATGTTAAACTGATCTCTCTACAATAATTTTGGAAATTTTACACTCGGTTTCTTAATTGAGTATTTAAAGTTAAACGTCTCAAACTAACATCACTTAGTTTTCGTTTCCGATTTTAGTTTTTTGATGATCAGTTGATAGCAGTTTGATAAAACTAGGACTATTTGACTTGTGAAATTAAAAAAAAAAACTTAGGTTATTGAGAATAAGCAGTAGAAATTTTCTACTTTCAAATCAGAAACCGGCTGTAAGTCTGAAAATCGATTTAAGCATTTTGACTGCCTTGTTTACTGATTGTCTGGTAGAATTTGCATGAATGCAGTCTTATAAACAAACTAGTTTATTTCGTTTTTAGAAGTGAAGAAGTCAATGACCGATTAAAACTTTTCCTTAGTACGTCCCAAAAACAGCAAACTCAGGGTTGAAAACACTCATTTTTTTTCAAAAACTCTGCATTTTAATATCTCCGAAACTATTTGACCTAGACTTATAATTTTTTTTTACATCATATAAAAAACAAATAGTACTCTCTAGGAACCTCGGGAGTGTCGGTCGTTCTGTTCCACCGAGTATAAGATACCGCTCATTATAATATCTAATATTACGCTTTATTTATTCATTATACTAATCAAAACTAAAGGAATCAATTGGTAAACGCAGTAAATATATGCTCAATCTTATAATAAAATAGCATATCTTAATCTTACAAACACTTATCTATCTGTGCTCGAGATTATAGTACGAAAGTGAAAAGTAGCGGAACTTCTAAACCCACAAATATTCAACTATATAGTTATCAATAAATTCTTAATATTTTTGTAACAAAGAACGTTTTCAGTTTTAATTTGAATTATGTTTATGTATGTAATGTATTTAATAAAATTATTCTTGAAATAATAAATTGTATTTGTTCACAGAGCATCTCATTGCTTCGATATGCAGAGCTGGCATGCGACAGACACAATCAGGATATCGCAAATCCAACAACGAGCAAGAACTATTGTTGCAGGATGGCTATCATAAATATAAAATCAATATAAAGTCAAGAAACTTAAAAAGTTTAATATTACCAAATCTAGTTTACAGTAATTTTGTTTCATACATTTTATATAGAGGAGCCTAATGTCCCCAAAAAAATATTTTTCAGGTTTCATCGAAATTACTCCCAATCGATCTCAAGTCCCAAATACTCCCAAGTATCAACTCATAACGTATCAACTAAGTATTAGTATTTTGTGCAATAGTGACACATACATTATTGGTCTTCCATACATGATCGACGACTGTGTTAATGTTTCATTAGCTTGCAATTTACGTTGAATTTTGAGAAGTGGTTCAACTCTCCCATCTGGGCACGTCTCCCGGACTCCCCCTACTAATAACGGTATGAAGATTAGGTGTATTGTTATACCTAGTTCACTTTGAGTAGTAGGTAATTACGAAAATACCACTAAGCAAAGTGGGTGCGACAACGCATACGCTGGGCACGCTCCCATACAAACCGTTTTCGGTGCATATGAATGAAGAGAACGTACTCTATATTATACTCTGGCCGTATTAAGTAGTGAGCCATTTTAAACAGCTATAAAGAGTAGGCACATTACTATACCTTATACTTTTGAGTAAGTAATTACGAGAATACCAATAAGAAAGAAAATTATCTATGAAAGTAGAGCAAACATTACGTGAAACATTACTGACGTACATGGCAGACAATTCCACTATGACTAAGCAATAAACCACGACCCTATAAATATTTTGGGAATTGTTTCCTGTTCCACTTTGCATGCGAGTAGCGACACTGTCCTTGTTTCCAGGTACTTAAACATTATGTACACGTTGCATAAAGTTTAGATATGTAACTACCTACATTGATTTGTAGCAGCTTTAAATTGGTTTTTTTCGCAATTGAAATGAAAAGCATACTGTAATCCCCCCCCCCCCATACACAAATATCGGTGACTATAAATAAAAGGTACACGGTAGCAATTCCGTAGAAAACTATCATTCTAAGGCCCTAAGCACATGGAGTATTATAAACGCGCAGATCACGCGCTTATACGCACGAGACTTCAAACGAGATTTGAACGCAACCATCTGACTTATGAACACGGGTTGATCGTGTAACGTGCGTCTACTGCACTTAATCGAGCAGATACAGACATCCAGCACACAATAAAATATCTTTCCAACTGCGGCGCGTACGGTGCGGTGACGTGTGCACGCGCCTCTCTTCTTCAGCATATACGGCGCAGAAAACGCGCATTTCAGGAACGCAATCATTTTAATTCCTTGTTTAAACAGTGAACAAGCCAGGCGCTACGAACATAGGGTACAACTCATATCCATTAGAAAATTATTTGAGCTTTGGGAAATACTCGAACCCATAATGCTTTTCCCCGCTATGAAATAAGTCTTTTGTAGTAGCTCTTAAAACATTCTTAGCGATTTAAACCTTTTGGACACCAAATATTTTTTTACACGGAATCCTATAATAAAACAAAACCAAGGTTTAATGTAAAATTTATTAAAGGAATTATATACATACCTACATAGGTTTTACTTTAATTATCATTATTTGATGAAATAACACCACTATTGTCGTGGATCCTAAACATTGATTTAGCCTTAGCACACTTTGAGAACGCTATTATAATAGATAAGTAGGTACCTATGTACATAATCGAAATAAACCTAAAGTGTTAAATTTAGAAATATTTTTAACACGCTATATTTGAAAAGCACTTAAAAAACAGTATGAGGCTACAAATAAGTTATTACATTGAAAAAGAATGTGCTTTGGAGTATGTTTGGAGCTCACAGGTAGGTATTTTTAGTGTGGCCATTAATACTTTTAGAATCAAAAAAAAAATTACTTTTGAATTTCGAATCTGTATTTTTTTTTAATGTCGTTCATTGTTTTTTCTTATTTTCGTGTCAAAAAAGTACAAAAAAATTAATGGAGTGGGATGATAAAGAGAACCGTATCGCTGTGGCAGCATTACATTAATTAAAGTAGGTAAGTATGGAGCCAAATACAATTTTCAATAGCTGTCATTGCTCTAGGAGCTTTGGCAGTATCTAGATGTAGGTATCTAGGCTTTGTCATCAAAGCGCTACTTAAAAAGGACATATAAATATGAACTTGATTTTATATTATTATTATTTAACAATAAAAGTCTAGAATTATGGGTATTAACTATTGCAGAAACAATCGATTAATGTGCCCTCTGAAGTCCTTTGACCGGCCTTTGTGAAAGTTGCTCGCAAACCAAACGAGCCAACTGATCTATTGAGCTCTTCCTCTCAAAATCTATACTATAAATATAAATCTATAATAAACAGGAAAGATTGGATATTGGATAGTCTGTTTGTTTTTATTGAAGAATTCCTTGCATTGAAGGCTCCCCAAAAAATTGAACAGTTTGATTTGAGAAAAAAAAATTAAGATAAATCTATTCTCAATAAATACACACTGGATTTATCAGTTTTGAAATTGAAGCCGCTAATTAGCCGGAAAACAGGAGCAGGGATTATTCTCTTAGTCACTAAAGTTAAACTTGCGTATATATAGGTAGTTAGTTGTGTCAATTATTCTATAGACACTTGTTATATCATATGAGAAAGTGGTGGCAAAACCGTTAATCGAACGTGTAGTATATTTTAAAATAAAATAAATTACGAAATGCAACTTTACGCCGTCATAGGTTTTGCTTTTTTTAACTGCGTTCAAGCTAATTGTAAGTTTTCTTATATTTATTTTATATGTCTCTTTTTATTCATTGAATTGAATTTGAATTTAAGAGTTTGAAGTCGTTAGGTAGGCAGTAAAAATTGAACTTAGCTTAGATTATATATTCTAAGGTTTTAAGGCGATTTCATTAATTTTCAGTGACACCTTTATCATGTAACGATAAAAAAGCTTTTGTGAATGGACACAATTTACGACGGCAAAAGATTGCCAGAGGGGAAGTGCCAAATCAACCAGCTGCAGACGATATGAAATTTATAGTAAGTATATTATTATAGTTTGCAGACCAACTGCAGAAACTAACATTAAGTATAATTATTAAGCCCGCTCTTTTTAAAAATTTAACACCATAAAACTACAAACAATATATAAAACTGATATAATTTTCTTCATAGATATGGGATGATGAATGGCAGGGAAAGCTGCGGCATGGCCATCCAGTTGGAGAGATAACCACAATTCTGATAAAACGATCGGTAAATAAAATTCCAATATTTTTTTGCAATAAGTGTTATTTATTTGTTAACTATACACAGGTAACTTTTAAATAATAAGTAACATTTATTTGAGAAACTGATTATAGTGTAAACGTACGTGGCATAAATATACAAGAGCTTTCTAATGCTTGATATTTCAATAGTTAAAGTAATACTACATTCAGTACCCAGTGCGGAGGTAAGGCGCTGAAACACTTGGTGGCGGGGCAATTTAAAGTACAAAAAATAGTGACACATATTAAAGTTGTGTTTAAATACTTTAAATTAGCAAAATAATTAATTCTTAATATAAAAAGGAGACTGCTTAGATTGCACAGTCGTTATTCAGCAGATCTCCGAAATTGGTGTGAAAATTAGCGCCTAAAAAGAGTTTTAAAATGAAAGAAAGTTTGTTTGTTACTGAAGTATCAGTATTTATGTCATAAAAAATTCTTAGACTCTCATTTAATGGAACAAACATATTCAACAATCGCTAGAAGTTTCTTTCACGCCACCGCCACTTCCGCACTGAGTACTGACGCGGCACTTACGCGTGAAGACGTTACAGACACACAGACAGAGTAACTCTCGCATTAATAATATAAGAATGGAATTATTTCAGATGGCTTGGGCGGACACAACACATGTTGGTTGCGCTGTATCCCAGTTTACAGAGGCCCGGTGGACAAAACACTTCGTCGTTTGCAATTACGGTCCTGCGTAAGTAACTATTGTGATACGATACTATTAATAATTTTAAATTAAAAACTATAATATTTATTAAAAATAATATTGTCTGAATGCTAGATTACATCAAATGACTCATTTATATAAACCAATTTGTTATACCAAATAGATTGGCCAAAAGATTTATTACGTAGTATAATTTTATAAAACATAGCAATTACATTTTTATATTTGTTTGTTTCAGTGGCAATATACTGGGGTATCATCCTTATAAAACAGCTATGGCCAATAGCAAACGTAGACTGATTTGTGTTAACAGCAACAAATGCAAACGACCATATGGATCAAGATGTTGATAAAATTAACTAAAATAATGTAAATTAGTGAATAAAAGCTTTAACCGTCTATAACTAAATTTGTAAAAATACTATGTAAAATGTAAATGTACTTAATAAATATGGTAATAAATAATGTCTCTGATTTTTATTTTTAAACTGATTTTTTAATAACAACTGTGAGAATATAAATCAAGAGAAAAAATTGGGTCCTAAAAGACAAACTTTTAACTTTCGAGCGATTTTATATTTTTCTAATTATGTTTGAACTCTGAAATAATTCAATCTACTCAAGAGCAAAGTAATTAAATTTGTTTTCACTAATTAAAAATCAGTTTTCAATTAGTATACTATGTGTTGACACAAGATGCTATTAAAGACGATTGTTTTCTGCATTTTCATAAGTAGCATCAAGAGCAAACGCAAGTTATTTGTTTAACATTTGATTTCTAATCATAAGTTATTTATCTTTACTAATATTATAAAGATATTTTCTATAATGGTTGTCTGTTTGCATCGAATTTGCTCCGAAACTATACTGAACGAATTTTACAAATTCTTTCATCTCCAAGAAGTTACATCACTTGCGGATAACATAGGCTTCAATTTACGCGGGTCAGGTCATGGAAAACAGGCTAAATACGTTTTTTATTATACCCTGTTTCGCTATCCTTTTCTTTCGCTATTTAAGGATTTAGGTCGTCTTTTGTTTTTCTATTTCTCATTATATGTCGTCGTGGACCCTAGGGAAATGTTAAGTGGGATAAAAAGCTAATACCCTATCTGTATACCAAATTTCATCAAAATCCGTTCAGTAGTTTCGGCGTGATTGACCGACAAACATTCAAACAAAGAAACTTTCACATTTATAATATTATATAGGATAATTATTATATTGTTTTTTTTACTATACTTTAACAATGTACATATATGTATTATATATTTTTAGTGCTCGAATTGACTTGTGATGATATCAAACGTTTTGTTGACGTACATAATGCGAGACGGTTACTCGTGGCTAGACGCGAAGTGAAAAATCAGCCGGCAGCTATTAATATGCAGTATATAGTAAGATACGGAAAGATGGCGTTCTTTAAATACTTTAAATTTTTCATAATCATAACTGGGACCATACTGCCTTCAGTAGCAAAAGCCAGGGCCCAATCTAGCGGTATAGAGCTACTATTTGTAGTTTCGGGTAAGCGGTTGGTAAAAATGCTCCATGAACCACCACGCGGGAACTGTGCAAATTGTGGATATAATACTGCAGACGCAGCCAGGACACTATAATATAACTAATTTAATTTACATATTTACATAGTTATTTCAAATCATATTTTAAAGCGCAATTAATAATTTTAGGCGTGCATTAAGTATTATATTCATCATCAGCCCCGTTATATTCCCACTGCAGATATTCATCGCTGTACTCATTATGGTTGGTATGGCATCCTCCTAAAAGGTCTCCATGCTGGCCAATTGAGGATTGGAGCTATTATTAACGACTGTAAATGCAGCCGGAAACAACGGCTTAACGTGCTATCTGAAGCACGATGTAGCTCAATATAATAATTTTTGGGTCATCGAGCTACTCGAACTAATAGATTGGGGAAAAAGCCTTTAAGCATAAAGTATGCATAAACTTGTAATAAAATCTTTCTGGCTATTTACCTACTAGTTTATGGACCTAGTGCAGTTTCTGTGCGAGTAGCACAAATTTGGTTTAAGCGTTTTGAGTACGGAAATTTTGATATTAAAGATGCATGTCGCTTTGGTGGCTTTGTAACGGATAAAAAAGATGGCATTTCTGAAAAAGTGGAATAACATCGGTATATCAGTAGTTACGACATAGCTGAAGAACTGGGGATTGACCACAAAACAGTTTTGGCGGATTTGAAAAAAGCTGGGTACGGTACACAAAGCTGGGACAAGTTGGATATTTGGGTACCTCAAGAGCTAACTTAAAGAAACCTAATGAACCGTGCACTCATTTGTGATTCTTTATTACGGCGACAAGAAAGTGCGAAGGGGGTCGTGGTCAAAAGTCTATGGCACAGACAGTGGCGTAACCCGAGTTAACTCGCAACAAGGTGATGCTTTGTGTGTGGTGGGATTGGAAGGGCAGTATGAGTTGTTACTGCCAGGCAGGACTATTAATTGTGAACTCTACTGCGAACAACTGATTAGATTGAAGCAAGAATCTGATAGAAAGCGGTCTGAATTAATCAATAGAAGGGGTGTGGTTTTTCATCATGATAACGCTAAACCTCATACATCTTTTGCTACTCAACAAAAACTGATAGAG